GGTACTTGATGTAGCTATGCTGTTCTGCTGGGACATGGCTCCAACCAGATGGGTGAAGAATTACCTTTAGATGGGGCGTTGGAAAGCTAGAGAACAGTGAAAATGGCCCCATGAGGAGCAGAGCAAAGCAGGGGTTGAACAACAAACATGGCAGCTCAACCCCTCCTCACCCCACTTCAGAATGTGCTCTTGGGCTGGCTCTCCTCTAATGCACATCCTGGATGAGGTTCAAAGGCCAAGTTCAGAGTGCTTTCCTGAGTTTGGATGCTGGAGGTTAGACGCCAGCGTCGCCGCTGTGTCTGGAAAAGTTCTTCTCCCTTCCAGACGAATCCGATTCCCAAAAGCAGGTCTGTTTTGCGGCACTTTCACAATCCACGTTAGTAAGTGACCTCCCTGGGGGCGTTGCAATTCAACTGGCTTGGCTTTGAGAAACTAGAGCAGAGTTCTGGCTCACTTTTCCTAAGGACACAGGCCCCCTGATGTCCTGTTGGCCTGTGTGCTTGACTGGAGTTGGTCTCGAGTTTTCATTCTACCAATCTCTTTATTGCAGAACCATTCATATGTTAAGGTACCTCAGCAAGCTTGTGTCACTAGGCATAGAATCGTCTGTTGAGCTGAGAAATAACAAGTTCCACAGCAAATGAAAACTGTTTATTTTCCCCAAGGCACTTTCCAAAACCTCTTAAGCCACACCGTGTATCCTCACGTGAGCTGCTGGCAGAAGGGAGGGGTCTGTTTAGTCCTCAACAGTCCTGAGAGGCTGCAGAAGTCCACCCCCACCCAACCGTGGGAAGTCTTTTCTGGTGCCCTGAAGCAAGAATGGAGTGTGCAGGTGCACTTGGCACTAGGAGAAAAATATTGAGCCAAGGGGCAGAGAAATAGGAAACACACCTTTCAGAGAAGGTAATGATAAATTAAGTCTTTGCCTCTTCAGTATTCTGACAGGGAAAGCACCAGGCAGTCAATCCGCTTTGCCTTTCCGTTCATTTCTGTCAATTTTGCCTTTTCTCCTTTTCCTCTTTTCAAAAATAACCCAGCAGTCCCTCCCACTCGCCCAGTGAGCGTTGGGATTTACCTCTAGACCGTTCTAAACACACCTAGAACGGCTTCCCTGGCCTGAAGTCTGTGGGGACTCCCTGTCTTCAGCGTGCCTGCTATCTGAAGGCTGCTCTTGCTGCCTCGGTGGTGCCCAGCCCCTGGCCCCATCTGTGAGAGCAGGCCAGCCCATCCCTGTGGCCCCCACAGTGACGTGACGCCCTTCACATTCTTGGTGGCCTGAAGTAACCTCGGAGGCTGTCTGTGTTTGGATAACACACAGATAAGATAAGGAAGAACACATGAAGCAACACCCGCGAACAGCATGGTCCAGTGACCTAGTATTCAAGCCCTGACCAGGACCAACAGCGCCGAACACTTGACCACTGCGATTTTTCGATTTTTCGTAACTCCAGTCCCTTCTGCCCTAATTACTCCTTGCTGCAGACTCAGCAGAGACAAACCACAGCTGGCCGGCTGCGCTTTCTGGGGTAGTGCTCTTCATGTAATCAAGACCAACTGCCACAGACTTCCTTTCCCCAGATAAATCAGCGCCAAAGACTGACATACTTCCCTCCCTCCCTGCCCCCTCCCCCAGCTCCAGTCGTTTCCAGTGCAGGTATCTCGTTTGGGGACGGCAAATTCAATGCTTTCCGTTGGTTCTAACTGGATGTAGTTTAAACTGATTTTTATTTATTTGAAAAAACAGTTCGCACATGTACTCCAAACTTAGAAGGCACACTAGGGGACACAGTGAAAAGATGTTCTCTTTCCCCCATGTCTGTCCGTTGATAAGCAGGTACCCCCTTCTAGAAGCACTTACTTTTGGTCTGAGGGCTCTATAATCTCAGAATTCTAGTGGGAATGCCTGGGCATTTTAAGATTGGCGTGGTTCTTTGAGTTTCCACAGAAAAATGAGATCATTGTCTTCCTGTGTCTGTTTTTTTTCACGTAACACAGTGACACCCAGATTCATTCATGGTGCCACACATGACAGGACTGCCTGCTTTTTATGACCGAGTAGCGTTCACTGGCCTCACAAACACACAAACACATTAATCACGTTCACTTTATCCCTTTCTCTGTTGATAGACACTAAAGTTGATTCCATTGTGAACAGTGGACAGTGTCTTAATAAACATGGGAATTTTTATTAGACACCCTGCTTTTATCTTCTTTGGGTATATACCAGACAGATGAATTGTTGAGTCACGTGATTGTATACTGCTTTTCTGAAGGGTGGACTCACCTGGATTCCCCTTCCTCCAAATCCTCACTCACACTTGCTGTCTGTGTGTGGTGTGATGTGGTGTGACATGTCTGTGTGTATGCAGGCGTGTGTGTACCACAGTGCGAATGTGGAGGTCAGAGGACAACTTTCAGGGGTCAGTTCCCACCTTCCGCCATGTGGAACCTGGGGACATCAGTGTTGGTGGCAGGAGCCTTTGGCTGCTGAGCCACCTCAATGGCACTTTTTGTCTTTTTTGTGACAGCTGTGCTAACAGTTGTGAGGTGTCACCTCACCATCTTTCAATCTACATTTCCACAATGATTAATTGTGGTAACCATTTTTCATAAGCACGCTGGATCACAGAAATGAAAAGTAGAATAGACTATCCTGCGGCTGTGCTGGTTAGTGAGAGCTTAGGAGACTGGGTGAAAGGATACAAAGTTTCGGTGAGGCAGAGAGAGTAAGTTTAAGAGAGCTATTATAAAACATGCTGGCTGATTAATAATATGTTGTACTTTCATAAAATCATAAGACAATGAAGATGCTTTACAAAAATTGTAAGTATGTGAGGTATTTCATTCATAAATTAACTAGGCCTACTCATTCTCTAATTTATATATCCTTGATAATAAATATCATGTTGTACATGGTAAATACATACAGCTTTTGCCAATACAATGTATATATATATATATATACATATATACATACACACATATGTGTATATATGAAGTTGTAATCAGAAAACCAAAAGAATTTAGTTCTGTATGTTTCCCACCCACAAGAGGTAACAAACATATTCTCTAACTATTCGATTTAATACATTTCCAGATCTTCCCATTTTAATACATACAAAATTATTTCTTTTTACAATATAGCAATACATCATAATTTATTTAACCCTTTACTACAGTAAATACTTACAGCTTTTCTGTCATCATACCAATACAGTAATTATTATTAGTGTCCATTTATAACTTTGCACATGTAAGAACATGTATCTTCTATATAAGACAAATGCTGGATGCATTGCTGATCCAAAGTACATGCATTGAGGTGGCTTGAATAAGAACGGCCCCCATAAGCTTCTAATATATTTGAATGCTTAGTCACCAGGGAGTGGCACTGTTTGAAAGGATTAGGTGGTGTGACATTGTTGCAGGAAGTGTGTCACTGGAAGTGGTCTTTGAGGTTTCAGAAGTCCATGCCGGTCCCAGGCTATCTCTCCTTGTGTTCGGATCAGGATGGAGCTCTCAATGACTTCTCCAGTGTTAGCCTGCCACCATGCCCCCCACGATGATGGTAGCAGACTGAGCCTCTGAAACTGTAAGCAAGCCCGTAGTTAAATGCTCTCTTTTAGAAGAGTTGCCTTGCTCATGGTGTCTCTTTAGAGCAATACAACAGTGAATAAGGTGTGCGTCAAATTGTAGTCCTGCAAAGACACTACATTGATCAATTTCTTTCCAGAGAACGTGTTCCCACACAGCCTGCTATCTGCAGTTTAAGAAGCTGGTTTTCCCATATTCTTTTTTTTTTTTTTTTTGGTTTTTCGAGACAGGGTTTCTCTGTGTAGCTTTGCGCCTTTCCTGGATCTCGCGCTGTAGACCAGGCTGGCCTCCCATATTCTTAACAATACAGTTTTTAACTAAATTTTCCTTTTTTGAAAGATATTACCTTTCTTTTTAGTTTTGCTTTCCATTTATGTTATTTTGTTTAAATCGGAAATGGAATACCATTTCACAAATTCTAAAACCATATTTCTTTGTCTGTGAATATCTGGTTGCATTTTTACATTTTCTTAATAATTTGCCAGAAGATAATTTGTTGATTTATAGGTGCTCCTTTTGTAAGAAATTACTCCTTTAATTTTTGTCTGAGTTTCTTATGTGGAGATGCAGAGATACTTTAAGCCAATGTAGTTTCGGGTTTTGATCCTTCTTATGGCTTCTGGGTCATTTTATACCCAGAAATGCCTTATCAACTCCAAGAACATCCTTTTGGCTGTCATATTTTCTTTCAGTATGTTTGTGATTTAATTTTTTTTATTTTAAAATTTTAGGCCATGTGGCGTTTATTTCTTTTCTTTTCTTTCTTTTTTTCTTTTTTTTTTTAAGATATGAAATAATGGGGATTGGAGAGAAGTTAAGAGCACATGATGCTCTTCCAGAGGTTCTTTGGAGTTTGGTTTCCAGTACCCACACCAGGTGCCTCACAACTGTGTCTAACTCAAGTTCTAAGGGATCTGACACTCCCGAGTACTTACACACAAGTAGCATACACTTACATAGACACGCACATAACACATAAATAAAATTTTTTTTAAAAAATTGGACTAGATGTGAGATTTATTATTGAACATGATTTGGTGTGGTACAACACAGCAGTGTGGAAGCCCTCAGGAGTGCAGGGACTGCCACTTGTCCAGGGGACCGCACCAGGGATATATTTGATCAAACTGCCATCAAGGATGAGCTGCTGCTTCTCAGTTACCATGTCTTCAAGTTCATCTGCGTTAGACTTGGTGAAGTCCCAGTTCTTTGACGTAGCTAGGGAATGTGAAAAGTGCCTCAGTCACACAGTCCTTACTCTGCAGCTTGGTGCAGATGGACAGGATGATCTGGCCAATGTGAGTCCTGGACACTGCCTGGGGCTTCCCAAAGGCATCAGGCATACCTTCCTGTCAAGAAGCTAGACTGGAGACAGCGTTGATCAGAGATATGAATATCCACCAGAAAACTGTCTCTGAGGTCCCATAGGGCAACCCCTGTAGGCAACAGGTTGAATATGCTCCCACGAGGCTACTGTTCACAGCCATTGCACATAAGGCCCCCATGAGGAAGGAGCTGGTTGACTTACTTGGTAGCAGATACAGATAAAACCTTTTATAAATACATGGAATCGTGATAAATTTACTCTTCTGTGTGGTTAAGAATTGTTCAAACAGCACTCATTAATATAATTTTAATTGTTTTCCAATGGTTTGAAATGCTGTCCTATTGTATATGCACATTAACCAGATAAACATTTGCATTAGTTAGACACATGCTCTCTGTTTTTGCTCTCTTGCTGTCTTTTCACCCACAGATAACACTGTTTTTATTACATTGCTTGTTAATACTTGGCCCAGTTTATCCTTGAATTCTGCTCTTATTCCTTCTCAGAACCTTCCTTCTCGCTCATATTTAATTTCCAAGTGATAATAGGAACATGTACACATCTTTCTAAAAATTCTCATATCATCATCCTAGTCAGAATATGGATTACTCTTCCATTTTTCCATCTTTTCTGTTACAGATAACAATTTTATGTAGATGTAGCCAACTGTCTTATTAAATAAGAAACACAGAGCTGATTCAGAGATGAAAGCCAAGAGGTCAGAGCGATAGCTAAGAGCTGAGATTAAAAACCTTACCCTTCCTGCCGCTGCTGTCTTACCTCTCCGCAAGAGACCTACTTCCTGTGTGCCTGTCTTTATAAAGACTTTCTGTTCTGCCTTCTCATTGGTTGTAAACCCAACCACATGATACCGCCTCATCACTGCCTGTCTGTACAGACCTCCAGGTCTTCTATGGTTGGTATTGAGATTAAAGGCGTGTGTCTCCATGCTGACTGTATCCTTGACCACACAGAGATCCACCTAGCTCTGCCTCCCAAGTGCTGGGATTAAAGACATGCGCCACGAACGCCCAGCTCTGCTATGGCTTGCTATTAGCTCTGACCCCCCAGGCAACTTTATTTATTAACATACAAATGAAATCACATTTCAGTACAAATAAAATATCAATTTTAAGGTTTTTTTTCTTGTTAAATCAGCTTCTGGGTATTTTGTTGTTTTTGTTATATCGTTAATAGCTGTTGTTGTTTTTCTTTTAAGGAAAATGGGTTTATTGAACACAAAGCAAGTATCAGGTGTGATGGTAACAGAAGAGCCACCAGCCAATAGAGTTTTTATCCTTTCTACATCCCAACTTGCTGTTTGTATATATAAAGGGATCAACTTTTTGTATATTAATTCATTCTACCCACCACAGAGAAATGGATATGGGTGTAATAGTTACATCTGGAGCTCTGTGATCAAACTACCTTTATATTTATCTTTGTGATTCTGTCTTTCTGTGTGGTTTAGATTTATTTTGTATTTTCTGACTTCTTGAAGAGAAATGTCTTGTTTATTGAGATAAGTCTTTGGAGCTGTGACTTTTTTCTGGGTCTAGTTTTCGTTGAATCCCATGAGTACTGACACTTGTGATGTTTACGTTATTGTTATTTCCTAGGAGTGTATCAGTGGGATTGTACTTTTCTCTTGCACTCTTACAGTCTGACTTTACCCTGAAGGTGACGGGATAAGGGTTTGTCTTAGTCTTTGCTCACTGCTACAGCAAGATATCTTAGACTAGGTAATTTATCAGTAATGGGATCTACAGCTTTTACTTCTGAAGATTGGGAAGTCTGAGGGCAAGGTTGGAGCACAGTGGGCTTCTATGAGAAGAGCCACCATCTTCTACAGATGGTGTGTGGCTAACTGGGCTTTCACATGGAAGACTGTCATGAGGGACAAAAAGGCTCCCTCTAACCATTTCAAGAAAATGTTAATCCCATTCCTCCCCAGGAATGGAATAGACTGATATGCTCTAACCACCTCCCTGACTGCTTAATACTATTAGATAAAATATAAGAGATTAAGAGTTAGATATTTGTAGAGACAAAGCGTTTAAGCACAGTTGTAATCAGGAGAGTGATGTCATAATTGTGAGTTAGATGTTCCCTTCTGGTTAAGGTAAGAATCTAGACATTCAAGCCTGAGGAACCAGTTATAACGCAATAACTACATATCATTAGTAGAAGATAATGATTACCTGAACTGACGTCAACAGAAAAAAAGGCTAAGGAAATAAGAATGTTCTGCTGTAGACTGTATTAATTAAACTTAACTAGAAGTGGAGTAAGGGGACAGTCAAATTGCTGAATAAGTAAGCAGCTTATGCTTTGATGACATGCACTGAAGGAAAAACATAAGAGGAACATCACAATTGGCAGGGAGACTGTTGCTAGGCTGTACACCTCCACCCTCCCTACACGTATGATCACACCGACTTGCACATCTACAGTGCAGGAATGGTCCTGGAGTGAAGCCACAGATTGCAAGCAAACTTATCATACTCATGTTTCCTCCGTCGTTTGGATTGTTATTACAAGATACTATGTAATATATATTGACAACAGGAATGTACTCCTCACAGCTCCATAGTCTGGAAAGTCCACAGTCAGTGCAGTAAAACTGATGCATGACAGGAGCTGATTTACAGGCTCACAAGCAACATCATCTCTCTGTTTCCTCACAGGGGGACAGGATGAGAAAGCTCAGAGAGCCACGATCCTTCTCATGTCTGCATTACTGACACTGCTGTCTTAAGTAAGTGAGACTCCTCCTGAGAGAGAACATTTGGGGACTTCCATTAGTGCGCGAACAGGATGCCTTTATTTAGTCTGCTTATTTTTAAATAAATGGTTTCAAGAAGTTATAGTGTGACAGCTAAAAACAGTTCCCTGTATTTAAATTAATTTAATGTTTTGAAAAACTTCTCTGAGATTTAAAATGCTAATAAAATGTTTGTGATATCTCTAGACAGATAGACCGGTTCATGTTCATAATCACCCCTTTCCCTGTTGGAAATGACAGAGCAGTATGCGGTCTACATCATCTGAGCATTCTTAAAAGAAGCAGAATGTAATATGCCAAGCACTCGATGTGCTGCTAACATTTACTAAATGTCAAAGAGAAAGAGAACATTTGTCACTGAAAGCGTAATTTGGATTTCAACCTTTTTAAAGGATTGCTTTCTTCCCGAGATGTATTCACAAAAGTTCAAGATCCCTTGTTAAAAGGCTGGATGAGGGGAAAAAAACATAATTATTTTAGAAAATCATGGAACTGTGCTAGTATATCATGAGTATTCACTGACTACAAAGTACTATGATGTTTTAGGCAGAGCAAAGTGCAGGCGGGTTGCATTGAGCATTTTCACCTTTAAGATGCTTACAGTTCAGTAGAGGAAGAGGTAAGACTTAAGAAGGAATGTCCTTAATATGGAGTAATGTGGTGGTTAATTTCAATAGTCAACTTGAAATCTGGGATCATTTGGGAGACTGGCCTTGGGGCATACCCATGGGGGATTATCTTGAATAAGTTAATTGAGGTGGGAAGGCATGCCCACTGCAAGTGGCACCATTCCTTGGACTGGGATCCTGGCCTAGGAAAAGGAGACAGTGATCTGACCACAAGCCTTCAAGTTCTCTGCTTCGTGTCTGTGGACACAATGTGGCAACGGCCTCAGTCCCCGCCACAGTGAACCATGGACTCCAACTATGATACAAAAACCCCTTCCTTCTTTAGGTTGCTCTTGTTGGGTATTTTATCACAGCAACTAGGAAAAATAGTTCAGAGAATGGCAGTGGGGTGCAGTGAAATACAATACCCCCGTTCTCAGAGGGGATTACATCCTGTTAAGAAAGATGACCCTGGCACATTGCTGACTCCCCATGGGAGGAGGCCTTACCCTTTTGGATGAGGGGATGGAAAGGGAGGGGGGATACTGAGGAGGCGTGGGAGGAGGGATGAGAAGGAGATCTGTGGTTGATATATAAAATGAATAAAAAATTTTTTAAATGAAAAAGAATTCAATAAAATTTCTAAGGAAGGTCAACAATTAAAAAAGATGAGCTATATGGAAATACACAGTTTTATATCTATATCTAGTAGATCATCTCAACTATATCCATATGAATATCTACGTGTACAGCTCCACATGTGTCATTGCTGTCACGTTCAGAGCAGGCATGAAAAGAAAAAAAATCAAAGCAAAACAAAGCACCAACCACAACAACAAAATGTCACACACAACAAAGACACTACACGGTACCCACAGGTCTCTTTTGACACTGTAATTCTAGCAGAGAAGCACTAAGTAGGATGGACAATCTTGACTGTCAACTTGGTTGGGCTTGACATCGATTTGGAGACACTTCTGGACAGAACTGTAAAGATATTTCTTGGGAGGATTAACTGTTTGGGGGAGGGGAAGTGTTGGGCACCTTTTGGTGGTGGCCCAGATGTAAGGAGGTCCAGGGGAGAAGCTGTTGTTCTCTGCCTGCCTTTGCCCTCACCTTGTTGTTGTTGTTGTTGCTGCTGCTGCTGCTGCTGCTGGAATTCAGCTTCTTGGGCCTTCTGATGTGGACTGGACACCATTGGCTCTCCAGAATCCTCCAGGCCTTTAGCACCCGATCAGCACTGTTGAGGCATCTGGTCTCAGTGTGTGAAGAGTCATGCTGGACTACACAGTGTATCATGTAAGCCAATGTAACGGGTCTTCTTTTAATATATATTCATTCTGTTGATTTTCCCCCTAGAGAACCCTACACTGTTCTGTTAGAAACCTGCATTATAAAATTTTGTATCACCATGTCTGTTGGTCCCTCTTAGTACTACAACATGGCTGCACATGGGAATCACATAAGCCCTGGGTCTGAGGGGGAATCTGAAAAATACAGATTCAGCTAGTTGGATCCCACCCTGCGGATGATGATTTAGCTCATATGGGTTGTATCCAGGCATGACATTTGCCAAATCTCCCCCGTTAATTCTCATTTGAGAACACTGTCTTACTGGAGCATATAAAACAGCTGATATCAATTATTGTCTTTGGTGGGGCCTTCATCTCTTTAGACTTTTTGCATTGGAAGGGGGAACAAATAAACAACAACTACTAGTCAACTGGATAATTCTACAGAAAATTTCTCAACACCAACCCCACATGCTGCTTTAGGGACTGCTGGAGTCATGTGCAAGTCACAAGAGTTAGGAAAAGG